GAGCTATAAAAGCTCTTAGCAACCTGTGATGCTCTGTCCGGATTCCTGCCCGGCTCACTGATGTCCTCGGTTGCCAGGAGCTGAGCAGGACGCCTTTGCTGGCATCCCTCTGAGTTTGTGGCAAGCAGTGACGTCAGAGAGCCGCTGATAGCACAGCTCTAAAAGCACAGACTTCAGTAATCAATAGTTATGTGGTACTCTGTAGTAGTAAAAGGGTAGTATGAAGAATGACAATAGTTTTTATATACTTTATGAAATTGAAATCATTATATTTTCAGCTGAATATGGCAAGTAACACACCACGTTACCATTGTTTATTTTGTCATGTTTTCCAGGAAACATAAGCAGCAGCAGGAAAAAGCTTCGGGGAAAGCGATTCAGACCTCGCTCCAATTCCACTGAGTAAGAGCTTACAATCTGAATAATTCATGCTATGTGAAACCAGGCAGGCTAGCCTTTGTTTCAAATTTAGGCAATTCGTGGCTTGCTACCTGTTGTAGAACTGCAACTCCCAGCAAGCCTGGAACTTGTAGCTGTGCATCATCTAGTGCTGCAGGATGCCTAATTGTCATTTGAATTGAAGCTTGCTTTACGCACACACAGCTTAAGACAAATGGTCACAGTTTTTTCCATCTGTCATCTTCTCGAGCGCATGCTGTTCACGCTAACTAATTCTGTTCTGTGAGATTCAGTCTGCGATAGGGTTTCTGTCTCCTTATTCATGTATAACAATCTTCTACAGAGGTCCATAATGTCACTTACTGGTAATTAGTGATGTGCCGAACACACCTGAGTTCGAGTTCGAACTTTAGAACATGGAAAAAGATCGAACTTGAACTTTGAACTCAATGAAAGTCTATGGGACCAGAACTTGGAAAATCAAATACCATTTTGGAGGCATATATGCAAGTTATTGGCCATAAAAGGTGTATGGGGATCCGGGTACTGCCCCGGGGGACAGGAATCAATGAAAAAAAACACTTTCTTTTTAAATACCGTTTTTAAAGGAGCAGTGATTTTACCATTGCTTAAAGTGAAACAATAAAAATGAAAAATGCCTTTAAATATCATGCCTGGGGGGTCCCCTTAAACTGCCGGTAAAGTGGCAAATCTGTACAATGTATAGAAAATGTATGTAAAAAAAAAAAAGCGTGCGGTTCCCCCTCCCAAACAATACCAGATATTTAGGTCTGGTAGGAATGTTAGGAGGGACCCCATTTAAAAAAAAAAGCATGTGGGTTTCACCCTCAAAGTCATACCAGGCCCCTAAGGTCTAGTAGAAATTGTAGGAATTTTAAGGAGGAACCCCATCCCCAAAAATGGGGGGAGGCATTGGTTGTGGAGGTGCAGGCAGGGGGCCTTATTCACATCGGGGGACCCCTTTAATAAAGGGGCACCCAGATGCGCCCCTCCCTTGTGAATGAGTAAGGAGTAGTTTCTAGAAGAAAACCAACAAACTACAATATAGCTGGTGAACTAGACCACAACAGGCAAACTACAACATAAGTGGTAAAGATAAAAAAAATGGCACATTAAAACATAACCTGTGAACAAGGGCAAAATAATTAAAAAATCACTAGTGAACGTGAGCAGAACCAGCAGCAGTATTACAAACTAGAAGAAAACAAGCAAATACAACCACAACAAGCAAACTAGAACAAAATCATCAAACCACACTGTAACTAGCAACCTACAACAAAGCCAACAAACTGCAATATAACTGGTGAAGCAGAACAAGATAAGTGAACTACAACATAGCAATTGGACTGGACCAAAACCTAAAAACTATTATTATTCAAGATTTATATAGCGCCAACAGTTAGCGCAGAGCTTTACAATATAAGGAAGACATTACAATCACAATACAATTCAAGACAAGGTGGTAAGGAGGGCCCTGCACGTGATGGCTTACAATCTAAAATGTAGGGGCAAGTTATACATGAGGAGGTAGCTGTGTGGGGATGAATTGTTTGAGAATGTGATGGTTGAGTGGTTAGGTTGAGGTGGGATAGGCTTCACTGAAGAGATGAGTCTTAAGGGATCGCCTAAAGGCAGTCAGAGTGGGAGACAGATGGACAGGTTTGGGTAAAGAGTTCCAGAGGATGGGAGAGACTCTAGTGAAGTCCTGGAGGCGAGCATGGGAGGAGTTGACGAGGGAGCTGGAAAGCAGAAGGTCTTTGGAAGAGCGGAGCGGACGGTTAGGGTGATATTTTGAGACAAGGTTTGAGATATAGCCAGGGGCAGAAATGTGGATGTCATGTGTAAGTCATTGTTAATATTTAGAATGTTATCCTTTGGGCTAGTGGAAGCCAGTGCAGGGATCGGCAGAGGGGGGTGGGGGATGGAATCCAGTGCAGGGATTGGCAGAGGGGGGTTGCAGACACTGAGCGGTTGGTTAGGTGAATGAGTCTAGCAGCTGCATTCATGATAGACTTAAGGGGGGAGGAGCCTGTGTAGTGGAAGGCCAATGAGGAGGGGGTTGCAATAGTCAAGACGAGATATAACAAGGGAATGGAAGAGTAATTTTGTGGTTTCATTGGTGAGGAAGGGGCGTATTTTGGAAATGTTGTGAAGGTGACGGTGGCAGGATTTGGATAGTGATTGGACGTGGGAAAGAAAGGTGAGGTCCGAGTCAAGGATGAAACCTAGCACCTTGGCATGGGGGGAGGGTTGGAAAATTGTGTTATCAATCTCAAGGGAAAAGTTGAGGGAAGGTGCACGGGTGGGAGGAAATATCATGAAACTGAGGAGCTAAGATAAAACAAGTGAACTGCAATATAACTGGCAAACTAGAACAAAACAGGCAAACTTGACTAATAAACTGGAACAACAGTGGCAAACTACTGAATCATTTTCAAACCTTTATAAACAGGCCCATATCCATGTACAAGCTCCTATACCTGTACAGAACATGTACTATATGACATTTATGTAATTAGCTGTGCTGCCCTTTCTATGTTAGGAGCCACTTAAGGATACAGTAGGCTTAAAGTGATTGTCTGTGTTTTTCTAAGGGATTACGTGAAAGGAATTCCGCTGCATTAACACAAATATCATCCTCCTACATTAGCTTCATCTGAAATAGATTTTATAGGAATGTCTGTGAAGGTTCTAATTTATTCAGGTTATAGTATAGCTGGTAGCAGTAGTTAGTCATTGGATTTGTTCTGTAATGGTTAAGATGTTTCACAGCTTATCCAATCCACTTCTTCAGTTATAGTTTTAGGAACCTACGCCAGAGATAAATCAACACAGGTAACCTAGTCATCTGAATAATGGAATGTGCCAAATGACCCAACACCCAAACACAAGTGAAGTAACTTAGTATATGCAGTGCAGTTTAGTGAGGAATGGAAAGATCTGAACATTCAGGAGACAATGTAACCTTTAAAAAAATGGCGGGTGGACTTAACAGCTCAATAGTTTTCCTACATCTAAATGAAAAGTGACACTCTTTCAAGGACAGTGAGGTGCAACCATCCCTAAAAAAAGACCTTCAGCACCATATGTTATGCATATATAATTCTGTTTTAACATCTCTGCCCCCACGATCTGACAATTCATGCCTTCAGTCATGTAAATCAACAAATTAACACCTGCAGCAGCCTTACCACACCAAGGAATGGGATTATGAGATGGGATTATGCCAGGGTGGTTTTACAAACTATCACCCCTCCCCTCCTGTTCTTGGGCAGTCAAAATCTGCTTTGACACTTTCCATGCTGATTGGATTAATGTGACTGAGGTACTTGTTTGGGGTCTATTCTTGACACTCATTGGAACCGAGGAGGCGGCTTGGATAAACTGAAATGTCTTTCACACATTATAGAGAAAGCCCACTTGAATTGACTAACCACTACTAGTTATTTCATACTAATAATCACATTAACCTTTTTAGATATCCACAAATGTATTTTTTTTTTAACTCTTGCATATGTCTGGAAGTAGAAGTTATATTATACCCAACAATCTGCATCATTTAGCCAATTAAGTACGTATTCACCTTTTTCAAAACATTTCCCCAGCCCCCTCAACTAGGTAGGCACCTTCAGGTCTATGGGATGTGCAGGTGCATGCAGTCCACCACTGGATTTTTACCACCTGGGCAACAAAGGGGGTGGGAGGTCGCTGCCATCGGAAGAGGTAAGTAAGCACTATGGGGGGACACAGCTGTGTGTATTGACGACTAGGGATAGTTTTTCTATGAACATGTAATTTAAACCTAATAGAAGACAGTGATATTACTAAGTTACTTTATCTACACCCAATACATACAACTTTGTGTTTGATTGTGCGCTACGTGGCAAACGTTTCTGGACCCCTGGCCATCACACCTATAGGAGCTTGTTGAACATTCCATTCCAAAACCATGGGCATTAATATGAAATGTCCCACTTCTTTGGTAGCTATAACAGTGTCCGCTCTTCTGGGGAGGCTTTCCACAAAATTGTGGAGTGTGCCTGTGAGAATTCGTACCCAATTTTTGCAAAAGATAATTTTTGATGGCAGATACTGATGTTGGATGAGATGACTTTCCTTGCTATCAGCATTCCTATTTATTCCAAGGGTGTTCAGTAGGGTTGAGGTCAGGGCTCTGTTCAGGTACTGTCGTCGTGTTACAGCTCTCCAGTGTGCTAGCAGCACAGGGCTGCTTTGACAATTCTAATTGCTAAGGATACACTGATACCGATACTAGCATTAGTATCGGTGCCAAGTATTTGGGCGAGTACCCGTACTCGCCCAAATGCTCTGATGCCTAGCCCGATACTTCCGGTATCAGGAAGCTGGGCAGCGAGTCATTACATGCTGCCCGGCTTCCTGATTGCCCGGGAAGCCGTCTCCAAGCTGGCCAATCAGGAAGCCAGGCGCCATGTTTCTGATTGGTCTTGAAGCCGGCCAATCAGGAAGCCAGGCGCCATGTTTCTGATTGGCCGGGAAGCCGGCTTCATGCCTACTCGTCACCTCACGAGGGAGCATGGAGCCGGCTTCCCGGCCAATCAGGAAGCTGGGCGCCGCATCATTACACAGTGCCTGGCTTCCTGATTGGCCAGAAAGCCAGCTCCATGCTTTCTCATCACCTTGTGACGAGAAGCATGGGGATGGCTTCCCTGCTAATCACGAAGCCAGATGCTGAGTCTTTAGATGCACATATTTAATAGCCAAAAAATGCCCTATTTACTTATTATCCAGCCGTACTGCATAATAACCAAGACTCATTAGTCCCATTTAATCTTATCCTAACTACAAGCCACTTTTCATGTAAGACTGAGATACCCTTGGATTTCTTAAGTACAGTGTAGGCCGTCTTTGTGACCAGCCAATATATGGTGTTATTAATCCCACACAATCAGCCTCACCTTGGTGTCATTTTATTTATTAATTGCTTATGTATCTTAGCATGCTTTTTGTATTTTCTTTGATGTACCGCCGGAATAAGTACATAGTTTAAGGTGTTATTTTTCACCTGCAGTCAAATACAGGTTACTCTTGCTTCTAGCTGATTTCTCTCTGCAAACAGGTGCATGTTAACCGTCTTCATGGTTCAAATGCCAAAACTCCTTTCTTCAGTCTCCTTTTGATTGTTTGTTGTTATAAACAGGAAGTTTAAAACAGACAACCACAAAAGGGTAGAGACAGCCATAGCCATCAGGTAGTCATTGTCCGGGATGGAAAAACTCCCCACTTTGGTGAGCACTTGTGTGTATGACTGAAGCTGAACTGGAAGACATCTTCAAAGGGTTGAATTGTTTCGACAGAAAAAGACCAAATGGTCTAATGATTCTACGCCTTTTTTAGGTTGTTTTCTTTTTTGATCCCTTTTGTCTTATTAAATTTACTTACTGTTGACTGACTCTCTACCTCTGCTAGAAGTTTGTTCTAACCATCAATTACTCTATCTGTTAAATAATGCTTTCTAAAGTTAGTTTTGAACTTTCCTCCTGCTAGTTTGAGGTCATGTCCTGTGTTCTTGATCATGGCTTCATATTGAAAATACTGACCTCCTGAACTTTCTTTTACACCGTCTATGTATTTAAAGATTTCAGTCCTGTCCCCCCCTTTCCCCCTTTTTCCTCAAGATTGTATATATTATGTTCCTCCAGTCTCTTCTGATATGTTTTATCAGGAAAAACTGCAGGAACTTAATCCCCTTCCCTCCTGCAGGAGTCCACCTTGGATAAGATGTGGGATGTTTTCAGAACTTAACCAGGTAGAGCCTGTTCTTGCTCCTTCCCACTTGACAAAGTTTGAGCCTGGTGATCAACATCTCAGGCCGATCGCTGGGGGAGGTCACATGCTCTTCTTTACCCAGAAGCCTTGTTCTGGTAGAGATATGGAGCAGTGGTTACAACTGTGCAGGGATGAAGTTTAACTAGGGATGCACCGATACCGGTATTTCGGTATCGAGTACCGATATTTTTTTTTCATTACTCGCCGATACCAAATACCGAGTACCGGAACTCCCATTCAGGAAGCCAGGCGGCGTGTAAAGACTCGCCACCCGGCTTCCCGATTAGTAGGGAAGCCGTCTCCATGCTTTTCGTCACTAGGTGACAAGAAAGCATGGAGCCTGCTTTCTGGCCAATCAGCACGCCGGGTGCCATGTAATGACGTGGCACCTGCTTTCCTGATTGGCCGGGAAGCCGGCTCCTTGCTCCCTCGTCATGAGGTGACGACCAATCACAAGTGACGAGGGAGCATGGAGCCGGCTTCCTGAAGTATCGGGCTAGGCATCGAAGCATATACTAGTATCGGGATCGGTTCATTCCTAATTTTAACCATTACCTACTCTAGCCAAAACAAAAAAAATAACATGTCTTGACTTTATATGTAATATAAGGAAAAGAGGAGTCTAACAGTTGCATCATGGGTTGGGTATCAAGAGGGAACATGTATACTCCTTTCCAGGGACAAATTGGTTGGAAGCAAGACATACAGTATATGCATCTGTAGAAGAACCCCATAAGGCCCCGTTCACACCAGGGCATGTTCGGCGGATCCGCCAACATGAACGATCCCATACATTGCTATGGGGACCATTCATGCTCCGCGCGATCCGAACTGCCTCCTGTCCGAATTGCTCCCTGACCCTTTTTTGCCACACTGATCAGCAAGGTTTCCATACTGCTTTCAATGGAACCGTACTGTGCAGCGCAGTTTTGGGCCTTTTTAATTGCGTTTCAGCGCTGAAGCGCAATTAAATACTCCCAAAACCGCCCTTTTAAAATCCACGCAGAAACCACGCTGATCCACAACCTCCCTGGTGTGAATGGGGCCTTAAGCCTTTAAGAACCTGTACCACGTTTTCTACTATTTATAATTACTGAACATTACCCTTGCACTTTTCTATCCTGAATGCTGCTTTGCTTGCTTGTTTTATTTTTGATTGTGTTCATTCTCTCTTTATAATCATTTTCATTTCCCTTTCTTTCTGATCCAAGCCTGTGTTGTATTATTAGATTGTATACCCTGCTTTCTCTGTTCTTCTGTCCCTCCTGTCGCTTTCCGCAGGTATTTTAACCCCTTCTACAAAAGAGAACATTATGTAGCTATATGGGTAGAAGATGTGAATAAAAACACAGATGGACCATACATTAGGTATTATGTAATGTGACGCTTGAGACATGTCGCCATAAAGTGTTATGGTGGAGCTTGAGATATATACATGGCAAGGTGGATATATACAAACAGCCTATGTGTATATAACCCAATTTCTGTGTCAATGTATATATCTGTTAGTGTGAGAGTGTTAACTTCATCCTAAAGGAGAAAACAATCCCCAAAAATTGCATTTTTAATATTATGTAGCATACATTTTTAGTTTATAACTAGTCAGGATATTAAATTACCTTAAAATGTATCTAAACCCAAGAACAAAAAATGATTTAAAATGTATATAAACATAATAATATATATTGCAGCTTACCAGTCCTTAGATGACGCGGCTGCATTCGTTTTATAGCTTTAGGCCTTTTTCCCCTTATTGTTACCTGTTGATCCTTCCAGTAACACATTTCCTGTCCTAGGGTGACAACGCTCACTCACTATACAGCAGCATTGTCACCCTTCCATGCTTGCTGCTGATTTGAATTACAGGACACACAGCCCCTCAACCTTATACTATAACAAGGGGGGTGTTCTGATGTCACAAAGGAAAACTAGGAAGGGGCTGATAACACATTTTGAGATTTCAGTAGAGCAGCGGCAGAGAGTGCAGGAAGTTATAGACTCACTGGATTTCTGGCAGGACCAGCAGGTATTTGTTTGCACTTATCGAACAGATATAACAAAATGCTTTCAATTACTAAGTGTTAACTAAGTAATTACTAATTACTAAGTGTTAATATACTTAACAGACTAAAAGTGGAAAACAATAAGAGAAGTTCATTGCTAGGGTTTGCACAAAATGTAATATGATGGCGTGAACATTTGAAATTTATTTTCTAATACTGAGCTGTATCTGTGCTCTAGGTCACAATCCAGTTCTGTGTAGGTGTCTGGCCTGGGCATTGGGCCGGGGCTGCTGATGGAGTTACATTGGCTGTAATGGCTAGTTTGTTGCCAGTTACGCAGGGGAGGTAAGATGTAGTCACGTAGGAATAAAAATAAAAAAATTCCAACTTTTCCACAAGTCTGGGATCTTTCTGTAAAATAGATAGATCCTCACAGTATCCTAGTGAGGAACATTTCAAATAATATTCTTTTGGGGATACATTTTTCTTTTAATAGATAGCATTCTTTTTAGACTTGCTTCTTGTGATTTGGCTTCTAGGAAGATACAGTGTCATGGTTATGATGCTGTAACAGTGGAACTCCAGCCAAAAGTTGTAGTTTGGATAGAGTGGGGAAGGAGTAGAACCTCTGTCGCTGGTAGGATTAGCCTTCACTTCCTGCACTGGGTGACTATCGCCTTTTGCACAGGAAGTATAGGGAAATCTCCTCCAAGGGCATACACTCATTTGTAGAACATGAAGAGGTTTTACCCTTCCTTATTTAAAGAGTTCCACGTTAAATAGGGGTGTCTCTGCATGCTGCCTCTCACTATTAGTAGCTGTCAGTGTCTGTACATATTTTATATTCATTGCATGTCCTCTCATAACACCCATTATATACTGTATATATACCTTCCATTTGCAATGTTTAGTTCACTCATGCAGAAGCATGGGCATGAGTTGTCTGGTCTAAAAACCATATGCAAGCTGAAGTACCCAAGTTATACAGCACAAGGATTCTCAGTCTCCCCTGAGATTGATCAGGCATCACTCGGCTGCATGACCTGTAATATCACTGAGAGTACACTGGACCCCTCCACATGTCATCACTTCCAGTGACCATCATGGGTTTTAGTGCATATTGTCAACCAACAAGGGTCACCATATGACTTCACTTGCATTCCAGTGCAAAAAGCAGTGATGATGTGCATAAAAGTGGTAACCCATGCAGCTTGTACACTGGTAATACTGGCTGTACAGTTACCAGTTTTGTTGCTTTCATTCAGCTTTTAACCTCAAATTTTCTTGGTTTTAAACGACCAAATTATATCAGGAGAAACAAAAGAAGCTCCGGTTCTCAACGGCTCAGGAAAGGAATGAGCCGAGTGCTTGTGGCTTTAAGCACGTCCTTGCTCCAATATGAGCTCATACAAAGAGAAGAAAAGTCAGTCCGCTGGGGTAGTTTATTGATGCTTGTACCATATCACTGGTGACCCGCCCCCTCTGAAAGGTTTTACCCAATCACGGGCTTAGTCGTAGAGATCATAATGATATCAGTTGGAGTGGAAATTGATCAAGAATTCCGTTTTGCATTGCATGCAGGTGGCTTTTGATCTTCTTCCATTCCAGAATTGTTCACTTAGTCGGTGGAAATTTGGAGATACTTATGAATGACAGCTTATTGAAAGCCACCAAACTACCAAAAAAAGACCTGGTGTATGATGTTTGTTTTCTGTGAACATCAGTTAAACAAAAGGTGTGAAACGTCTTAGCATGTTCAGTATATGTAGGCGCATCAAATATTACCTCCCACATTTTCAGTACTCTTGCTATACCCATTGAGATCTTTGCTGGGATCATCAAGAATCCTTGATTGTAGAAGCCAGTTGAAATTTATTTTTTGTCAGCAGTCATAGGGCTCCCTGCCTTTGGAGTTATATAAAAGGTATTACAAGAATCCAAGGATGCTTTCTTTCATATGACACCAGAAAGCATTTCCTGTCTGTCTATCCTGCCTGAACCTTCAGCACATTTCCTTTAGTATTTTAGACACTCCATTTACAGTATGTTCTGCATAGAAATGTTGGTTAGGTCTTCCGGCATTGCAACAACTGAGGAACAACTGAACAGGTAAATTGTATTATTAGTGCACACTCTTTCTTCAAGAAATAAAATCTCATTGGTTGCTGAGTTACTGCATTTGGCACATTATCTGTACTCTTTGCATTCTTTTTTGAACATACCTACTTTGTGTTTTAAGGTTTCTACAAATTGCTCAGTGGTGGACACCCAGACCTCTACGCCAAAGAGCAGCTTACAAGGTTTGACAATGCACAGCAAGAAGCGACAGATACATTTCTGTGCAGAATTAATAGGTTTAATGTACTCATAGACACAAAATTGGTTTGACAATGCACAGCAAGAAGCGACAGATACATTTCTGTGCAGAATTAATAGGTTTAATGTACTCATAGACACAAAATTGGTTTGACAATGCACAGCAAGAAGCGACAGATACATTTCTGTGCAGAATTAATAGGTTTAATGTACTCATAGACACAAAATTAAAGTCACAGTCCTTAGGTCTAGTGATTTCAGCACACAGCAACAGACACCCACAGCCACCATCAATCTGGCATTTAGCCATGCTGAGTTTTCAGTCGAGGTGCATTTATGGCCTGCATAGTGTAAATATAGACAAAACAAAAAGTTACATACAAGAGGAAGTCAGGGGTCTCCCTAGCATTTTTTCCCCCCTGATTCCAGGAGGGCCATAGGGAAGTGGGGGGTGGGGGGGTTGGGTAGTGCTAGAGGTGCACACAATCAGAGCATCAGGAGGCGGGTAGAGAAGACAGCACCACCAGACACAATAGTGACGCCACCTTCTGCAGGCTCTGCATCTTCCCGCCCAACTCTTAGCAACCTGGGATGCTCTGGATGGCGTCCCTCCCAGCTCCTGGCAACCAGTGACACCACTGGTTGCCAGGAGCTGGGTGGGATGCCAGCAAGAGCATCCTAGGTTGCTAAGAGCTGGGCAGGGAGATGTGTATGTCTGTCAATAGCATTGCAACAGAAGTTTCAGTTTTCATAAGTCTCCCCTTTAATAGAGTTTTATTACCTATTAATCTTGCCAGTAGATCTGCTATATTTCTACTTCCTTTAGCAGAGTGACACCACTGTTCGCTCTGTAGTGAAAGTGCACAACAGAGATGTCATCCTGTGGACAGAGTAGTGTTAGATGGACATGCAGTTTTAGGTAGACTTTAAGTAAGTGAAAAAAAGAAGAAAAAAAAGGCCTTTTCCAGTTAAAGCAGAAGTAATGGCATGTAAAACCCCCCAAAAAGTCCCCCCTGGAGCTTTTAGCCATAATGTGCTAGTATGCACAACATATTAGCAAATTATGGCAGACTTACCTGCCAAAGGGAACCCCTCCAGAGGTGTGATCCTCCCTCACTGGCGCTGCCCTCTTCTCCTCGATCTTTTTCCGGGTTAGGCATCTTCGGCCTCTTGATTGGCCAGCTGGCATGATGTAACTCCCGTGTTTCATCTCGGCATGCCAAATCTGTGTGCTGAGCTGTGCATGCATTGCTGACAGGTAGAATGAAGCTTGTATGAAAGAAGAGACTCACACAGTCCCTTCTGTCATAAAAAGCCTACCTATCAGGAATTTTTTGGGGAAGCTTAACTTCCACTTTAACACTTTTTAATCAGTCACAGCATTAGATTTAAACAACACCAATAAAAGCAGACCATTGTAGCACCCCTGCCATTGTAACGTGGTTCATTTCAACCCCTGTAAATGTCACTTTTCGTGGACAGCTTGGCCTGTTAAAGGAAGTGGAAAAATAACTGACCAACTCCTGTAGGGAGCCTGGAAATCAGTTTATCAGGATTTCAAGAATTGACATCACTTGTCATGAATACAAGATATGCTTATAGTGTAAAAAGTCTCTCATCCATTCTTACAAGCTGTGCAGTAATTGAACAAATGGTGCAAAAAGGACATTGCTTAGTATGGAAGACAGAGGACAGCTTCTGAAGCATACCCATGAAAACTTCTGTAATTCCGCTGTGGAGGGAGAGAGATTGCAGACTGCGGCACAAGAAGAAAGTAGCTGTCGGTGGAAGGATGGTTAAGCAGAACAGAGCCATTCAGCTGTTGCTAAAATAGAGGGAAATGTTCTGGCAGTAAATAAAATAAAAAGTATACATAATCTTATTCTGACAATCTATTAGGTAATCTGATCAAAGTCAAGAGAAAGATTCTAGGAGTGCTTAAATTCTTCAGGGTTGTTGGAGGGAATATTCTCACCGGTGATTAGGATCCCCGGTGGATAAAATATGGGATTCTTGCCAGAGGAGAAACTTCAGCCCTATGCACATTTTCAGCCAGATTTGTATT